TTTTATTTTGAGAATTAAGAAGTTGTTCTTAGTGAAGGGGGTCAAAAGAGTTTTTTTAAGAAAAATGTACTAGCATTATTTTGTGAATTGTGCATGCATGTTATACGAGAAATTTAGAGGGAGTTATTGTTGCTACTGCATAAGTATGTACTTTCTAAGTTCACTTTATTTTTAAAAATGGTAATTCCCAGTATTTACAAGGTTATGATAGTTATATCAAGGAAGAAGCACTGATAATGTACGTATTCCATTTACAGGAACTCTCTCTCATTTGCCATGGCTTGGCCACTTCTCTACACAGTATGCAAAGTGCAGAGCTGGCCCCTCTGGACATTAGTTACTAAGATAAAATCGGTGTTAGATTTTAGAACTGACAATTAAGATATATTTTCAGGAAAGCTTACCTCACTCCTCTTTAATTACACTTATGTGGAAAAAACATTTAATTGTTTCAAAGATTATTTTTTTTACTAGATATATAGTAAATGGGGAAGAAAAAATGGGCTATTTTTTCTGAGCTTGTGGTTTCTAATTACATCAGTTACAGCTTAGCCTTCCTCTTAACTAGAATGCAGGCATGAACTGGAAAAGAATGAGCTAATCCATGATAGATCAGGTTGAATAAAGATCTCCATTCATATCTTTAGCTTTTATCCCTTGTTCTGAGTGCCAAGAATTAATGCTGTTTGAAAGTGCAAACTGAACCTGCCAAGCTTTGGACAGCTAAGATAATCCTAATTATTTTGAATGTTAGTGAGAAGGGCCACAGTTCCACTCTGGAAAAGAGTTCTGTTGTGAAACATTAAATATCTGCTAAGTGGTATTGATTGGACATGATTTTATTTCCAAACACTATGGTTATCATGAAGCAGAAGAATTTGTTGTTTGAGAAATATTCATCAGCTTTTCATCAGACTCTTAGGCCTGTAAACTAGGAAACTAAAGAGGCCAGCATTTTTTTTCCCCTGTCTGCATCTAAGTGAAGGGTTGCTAGCAATTGAAAAATGCCACTTGTATTTTTATTTTTAAATGGTTTCTTAGTGAGAGTTTAATAGTATATAGAAGGAGAAATTCTTTTCTCAAGCATGAGTATCCGGTTTTCTCACATCACTGGAAGAGAATTATTCGTTCCAGTCCATTGACTTCCAACAGATCATTCAAGTTAAAAGTCAGGGGTCTTTGCAATGTCAAAAGATTTAGCAGCTAGAGTGGTTTTTGTTTTGTTTTTCAGAGGGGTGGGGTTTGGGGCAGTACATATTACTTTCCAAAAAGAATACTGATGGTTTAGATGGTATCACTGAAATCATCTTAAGGTTCTCCCCCCGCCCCTCCCCCCCAACATTCTTGGTAAGAGTGGTTATGTGTAAGTTTTTGTTTGTTTTTAAAATAATAATAAATACCCTTTAGCTTCTGTAGACAAATAGGCTACTTGAGAGAAAACAGATACAGGGCTTGCTGGTTCAAACAGGGGTCACCCTCAGAGGCTTACCACTTTCATTGTAATGTAAAAAGATCAGATGGGCAGGTTTCCCTTTTTCTTCCTGTTCAGTCTCTACTTCGGTCTCCAGAAGTCATTTCTTCCCTTTCTGTAAATACTGGGAGCCTGTTGATGATTACAGGGTGGCGTAATCCTGAATTGTTGATTGCCTGTGAATGCTTCCTGACCCCCAACCCAAGAGCAGCTACCCTCAGCGCCACCCCCCACCCCAGCACCACAGCAAAGCACGTCTTTACTGATGCAAATAGTGGTGTGCTGAGCATCTATGGGCCAATTATTCTTTCTTTCTTAGGGTTTATTCCCCAAAGTGGAATTACCAGGTCAGAGGGTATGAACACTTTTACGGTTCTTATTACATGTCACTAGATTGCTGTCCAGAAAGATTGAAGCAATTTCTAGTGCTACCAACAACAGCCCTTTCCTAAGCAGTCCCACTGACGCTAGACATTACCATTTAAAAAATAATAATTAAGAGAAACCTTTAGAGCTGAAATGAGCCTTGTTCCGGGCTCATTAGAATCAACTTAAAAAGAAAAAGGGATAATTTTGACTTTTGAATTTTTAATTGGCATAAAATTATTTACAATGATCAATTATTTCTCTTCCACCAACACAGTTTAATGAAGCTGCATTCAAATGGAGAGAGTATCTTTAAGGATGGTAGTAAAATAAATTTTGGACTTTAGTTACTAAGATAAACAGTTACAAAATCTTTAATGCACTTGGATCTACTTTTATGAGGTGTTACCAAAATGAGTTGAACAGATACTATCCCTAATTTCAACAGCCCATTATTCAAAGACAATGCTACGCCTTGAACAGAGTAAAATAACATGGATTTAAATTTTGAGTGGAGAAATGCTTTTAAAAATAGTTGTGTTTCAAGACAGGTTGAGTTCGTTCATTTGCATCTTCTCCGTAGTGCAGTCATGCATTAAGTTTGCTTAGAGCCTCCCTAGTCTGTGCAGGTGACAACACTCTGCATATTTTTGTAGCCCCAAGTCATAGAAATACTTTCCAAGAAAATACCCACAAGGCAAGTGAGAGCAAAAGAGGGTCTGGGCCCAAATTTCTTTCCTTTGCAGAATTCCTACCCCACCTCTCTTTTGTAGGCCCAAATCCCCTAAATGGGGAGTGGGAGGTGTGTGACTCGGTGAGGGGTAGGAATTCTAGGCCAGCCGCTAACTGAAGGCAAAGGCAGGCCTGGGGCTCCCCTTATCTATTCCTTATAACCTCTGCATTAGTCTGGTAAGGGTCAGTTGTTTGCCTCTTTAAACTCACACAGAGATTAGGAAGGTTCAGTTGCCAGTGATTAAAGGGCACACAAGAGTGGGATGGTGCAGGGACGAGAGCAAGCCAGAGGGTCAGGCTGTCTGTCCAGTGCCACACTGCCCTTGGCAGCTTCCACAGGGTCCCTTACGTAAAATGGAGAGGATACCTCCATAAAGTGTGTGGCATACAGGGAGCAGTCAGGAAATGCTCATCCCCTTCCCATTGCTTCTATAGAGAACTGCTGTCCCTGGTTTGAAGTGGGGATGAAAGGTTGACAGATTAACGTATGGACTCTGGCTGGCTCTTAATGCTCTAGATCTCTGTATAGTAAATAACAAGATGTCATAGCAAAGTCTCCCACCTTTGGAAAACATTTGTGTATATACAGTATCCTTGTGCATGTAACACAATTCATAACTCGCCGTAAATTTGCAGGGAATTGTAAATCCATATAACAATTCAAATTTAGTAAGAAGCCTTTAGTGAACTGCAATGAAATGAAGGCCTCAGAATTCATAGTTCCCAGGTGTTTTGGTTGTTACTTAATATTTATATATGCACCCTTATTGGCATTTTTAAGTACTACCATTTAATGGCTCCTTTATAAAAAAAAAAAAGAGCTTACAAACTATTACTCTTGCATTTCACTGAAGTTACTAAACAAGTACTGTGAATATGAAAATGACTTTTCAGGAAGTCACCTAAATTATTTTTCGAAGTTACTCAATTATTAAGTTTTCAGATCATGTCTTTCTTTACTGGATATTGAGGTAGCTATACAAAACTATCCGTCCGTCTGTCTGTCCAAATGTCACATTAGAAGAAAGGGGCTCTCTGAAATGATTTGGTCCAGTGGAGTGGTTAAAGGTCTGCTTCTTAAATCCCAGCCCTATTCTTTTATCTATGTGTGGTTTCACTAGCTGCAGCAAACTTTCCCAAACTCGTAACAAGCGTAAATGGTGTTCTCTTATAAAAGGGTCTCTTCAGCGTGGTAATATACCTTATTAAATTCCAAACATAGTAAGTACTGATGGCAAACACATCAGGACCCAGTACAGCTCCTATGATTTAGTTCTCTACAAATGACTTCAACACTCAGCTCCCAATGCATGGTGCTAATTACATCATAGATTTCCCTATTGATGAACACAAGCTGAATTAACACAGGAGCACTAATGTACCCTTTCACCATTATTGTTGTACAAGAAGCCGTGGCAGATGCTGGCAGTTAGTTACACAAACATTAGTATTAACGATTGGCCATTTGGAATTGGTGACAAACTACTGCCCGGCAGAATCCTGAGGCTGAAACCAATCAGGAAGTTAATGAGGAGAGAAATTACCACTGCAGCTTCCCCTTAATTACATTCACACCAGGCAGGAAGGGAGTTCCAGGGGTGCATCTGAACTCGGTTAAGGTTAAGAAGGTCAGAGACCCTTTTGCTTAAATTTTGTATCTGTTGTGGCTTGTAAGGTCGCAAAAATTGTTCAGCACTTTATTACTTTAACATCCTTCATATTTAATGTCCGTTTTTAGAGGAGTTCTGTGTTCACAGGTTTGCTTTAAAAATCTTTATCTGGGTTCTATTTTAGTGTGGTATAATTCAATTTCTTACACGTTTTGTGGTTTTAAAAAGTTTCCCTCCCATTTACTGCTTTTTACTTTTAAAAACAGTATGTATGCTGAGGCCCCCCCCCCCCCCCCCCCCCCCCCCCCCCGCCACCGCAAGTGTTTGTCCCCATATCTCCACAGGAAAGTTGATACGCTATCACCTTCACGTGCTATATATTGAAAACTAGGGTTACCTGTCAAATGGTGGAAATACATGGGTGGAGTCTTGCTTGGGGTAATTTGTCAGATGGATCATTTGACAAGACAGGTTCTATTAGCATCCTTTACATAAAGGAGGGGCTCAGTGAAGGGTGGAAATAGTTTCCCCCAAGAGAGGGGAACAGACTGTTTTTTTGTTGTTGTTTTTAATGAACATAAAACTGGAACTCTGCTAGTTAACTTTTCCCTACAGTTAAATAGATAATATTGCACTGAAATTCTATTTTCTTATTTAAAAAAAAAGTGCTCGGGATTTTAATGAGTGTCTATAAAAACACTTTCACTGGAAATAGAAATGCAGAGTGCCTCTTTCTTTGTTGGAACCTAATTGAAAACTGAATGTGCAAAGACTGGACACTTTTAACACACTCTTCTCCCTCTGTCTCTCCCTCTTCCCAG